ATTTTTTGTAGAGATGGAGTCTCACTCTTGCTCAGGCTGCTCTCAAACTCCTGACCTCAAACAATTTTCATCAGCCCCCAAAAGTGCTAGGATTACACATGTGAGCCACTGCACCTGGCCCTAAAACACTAATTTTTATCTCTACCCAGAGCTGGAATTTTATATTCCTAAAACTATTAGTTTCTTCTCAACTTTTCTCTCCTTTGTTAGGCATATTTGCTCAAACTAATCTGTTTTAGTTATTCTTGATCCTAATTAAAATTTTTAGATGGGTTAAAGTTACATTGACTGGTAGCTCATGCTGTAAGCATCAAATGATTAAAAAACAAGGAATTTATTTTCCTACCATTAACTTAATGAGTCATACTCTGGGACAGAATGGAGGTTGGTGGGAGGAAGGAGAGAGGTAAAGAAAAGGAAAAAGGAAAAAGTAGGCATGTTTCAGAAGAAACTCCAGCCAGGGCTGTTGGGCTCAGTGCTGTTTCCTGATATGCGTCAAAATAAATGTAGGAAACAGCTTTTGCTTCAAAGTTTGGAATGTTGTGGTAACCGATATTTAGGTGAAGGAATGTTACAATGGGAATAGCTGACCTAAAACTCTTCCCCAAGCCATCAGTTTTACTTATTAAACTTACTGGCGAGAAGAAAAGTGACAAGAGAAGGCATAGATCATTTATTTATTTGACAAGTTACTCAGAGTTCTTTTCCTTGGCAGGGCAGCAATTAAGATGGGTTTTATTCTGCTTAGCACATGTGTTTGCTTGGTTTAAAATTGTTTACATGCTTCCTGGCAAGGCACTAATGAAAATAGAATCAGTACAAAGAACTTTTTTCTCCTTGTCGGTGGAACACTATGAAAGTTGCATTTTTAATGGATGATGAACGCAGTTGTTTTTAGGATTCCTGGATGAAGTCATGAAGTCTTGAAAATTTTGGAACCCAAAGTTTGGACTCATGTTACAATTTGAGTAACTACTTTACAGAAAAGGGCCTGGTCTAATTCTGAGCCTGTTGCCTCATTCTCATAAGTTTGAGTCTCCATTCCTAAGGGTAATATTTATAAGCCCATAATTAAGGCATGACTTTAGCTAGGCTTGCGTTGTGAGAAAAGAGATACATCCAGGCTACTTTAGGGCTCCATTTCTCCAATCAGGTGTTCTCTGCTATACTTCTGCAAATAAGTGGTGCTGCAAAATGAAGGCTTTGGACCCTCTGTTAAATAGGATTAAACTGTTTTTTGGAGCAAGATTTCTAAGAGACTTAAATGTGCAAGTAAGCACTGTGAGAGACCAAGAAAGGACAAGGTATGCAGCATTTCCGGACTATTATCAAGCGGTATCTGTGCTTACCTCTTAGAACTCTGTTTCTCAGAACATGGTTGGGGAGAACCTGCCTAGAGTGACAGGGTTCCTGGTAAGTACACAGCTGGCAATCGACCACTCCGGACCCTGCCTGATTCAGCAGCAGGGCTTGTGACTGCCCTTTCTGTGTTACTTGTATGAGTACTTCCTGAAGGAGGGCAGCCAGGGAGTCTATGGCCACCATCTAAAATGGGGCATTCCTGGCCGGGCACGGTGGCTCACGCCTGTAATCCTAGCACTCTGGGAGACCGAGGCGAGCAGATTGCTCGAGGTCAGGAGTTCTAAAGCAGCCTGACCAAGAGCGAGACCCCCATCTCTACTATAAATAGAAACAAATTAATTGGCCAACTAAAAATATCTAGAAAAAAAAAATTAGCCGGGCATGGTGGCGCATGCCTGTGGTCCCAGCTACTCGGGAGGCTGAGGCAGGAGGACTGCTTGAGCCCAGGAGTTTGAGGTTGCTGCGAGCTAGGCTGATGCCACGACACTCACTCTAGCCTGGACAACAAAGTGAGACTCTGTCTCAAAAAAACAAAACAAAACAAAACAAAACCAAAATGGGGCATTCCTATCAATCTGTCTTAGACCAAGGTGCTCATACATTTTGTCCTTCCTTAAACATAATCCTTTAGCCTTAGCACAAATTCCTAGACCCTGTGGTCAGTGTAGCAGTATGTAAAGGTCCAAACCACAGAAATTTAGTTCTGTTTTTCCTTGGATGGAGGCTGTGACAGGTAGCTAAGTTTTAAGAACTGGTCAATTTAGGTGGCATCTGTCTTCATGTAAGATATCCATTCATTAATTAATTCATTCAGCAAGCATTACTGAATACCTATTATGTGTCAAGCACCGCATTAGGCTATGAAGATAGAAACATGTATAAGACAAGATATCTTCCTGGTTCTCAAGCAACTATTCGTTATTTTAACAGTTAGTATACTGGTTGTTCTTGCCTGCTTCATAAAATGTTGCTCAGGTGTAAAAGTAACTGCTCCATTTTTGAAAGCCAGTATGGGTGATTTAAAATATATATGTAAATTTTATTATTAAAGATATATATGTTTGGATATATTTTTTTAATTATGCATTTTTATATATAATATAGATTACATAAATAATATACAGTCATGCATAGCTTAACAATTGTGAAAAGTTTTGAGAAATGCACAGTTAGGTGATTTCATCATTGTGTGAACATCATAGAGTGTACTTACACAAACCAAGGTGGTGTAGCCTACGACATGCCTAGGCTATATGGGATAGCCTATTGCTCCTAAGCTACAAACCTATACAGCATGTGACTGTACCAAATACTGTAGGCAATTGCAACACAAAGTATTTGTGTATCTAAACATAGAAAAGATACAGTAAAAAATAAGGTATTATAATCCTATGGGACCAGTGTTGGGTATCCTATTGACTCAAATGCCCTTATATGATGCATGACTATATAATTGTATGATAAATACATAAATATAATACATTTATTATATTTATCTCTGTTATTTTCCTGAATGTTGTCTGATCTAAATGTTCTGTGGCACTCCTCACACAGAAACCAGCATCATGAAGTCCCAGGACAGTGATGGGGCACCAGGAATCCAGTGCTCGTTGGCTGTTTCATTGATGGCACTGGAGGACTGTGGTCTCTTTCCCATGCATGAGATGTGGTGCAGGTCTGCATGATGTCATCTCCTTTCCCCTTGTGCATTCTTAAGACAGGCAGCCCAGATGATGGCACCGTGATTCACTGTGGGGCAGGAAACACAATGCAGCCATGCCTGCAGTGCTGCCAGAAGAAATGCATCTGTGGGGATCTTTGCTGCCTCTGGGCTCTCCCTCCTTGAGATTAGGTATGGGTCTTGATAAAGAAGAGAGTTCCGCAGCAAGTACAAAATTAATTTGTTCTTTTATCTGAGTTTAGAAGGATCCTGGGCTCATGTTAATATACTTCAAGGCAGTTCTAGAGCCATCTTAATCTTGCTCAATGTTGCCAATGTGCATGTGTAGAGATCCCTAAAGCTCTATTGGGTTCTGATGGAATATGTTGTAAATTATATGGAGGAAACTTAGCAGGGTTAAACATCCATGGAGGTTAGGGGGGGAAAAAAAAAGGAAATGTTTCCACCCGGGACGTTTAAGTATATTCATTAGATTCTACTTCATTGTTAAAAAAAATTGGGCTATCTTGGAATGAAAAGGATAAAAGGCCAGATTACTGAATTTACTGTTGGTGTTGACATCGGATGCTTAAAAGAGCATTTGGAATTGCTTTCCATTCATAGCCAGGGAGAGAGAGTGAAAGGGGAAGACACCCTTCCACTATGCCCCAAGAATCCCACTACGCGCCTTCCTCTGGCTAACATTCTGCTGAGCAACGACCTCACACTTTATTGAGTCGTGGGGTAACTGCTGACCCGAGAACTGAGCGCTAAGCCTGCTTTTCCTTTGGTCAGTTCTTTGCTCATCTACTCTTCACAATTCTCTGAGGGCTTACTCACCGTGTGTCAGGCACTGTGCAAGGCTCCCAAGCAAACACAGCGGTCTACGAGGTAGACACTCTCTGCCACCCAGTGACATGCACGTAACGAAGCACGATACAAATGCATGTGATGAATCCCACACAAAGCAGTGCGAAGGGAGTTATGGCTGCTCTGTAGAATGTGATCACGAGTAGGCAGAGTGACAGCTCAGCGTGGACCAGCTCGTCGGCATGCTGCATAAAGACCCGTGGTGAGCAACATCATCAGAGCAACCTCGTCATTTTAAAACAAAGACATGAAACTCATGTTACTGCATTCTTTCTGGACTTCATTTTGCAACTCCCATGCACTCTTGAAGCAAAAGACCATGACACTATAAGCTTTGTTCCTTTTCAGCAGTTCACCTTCTGGTAACGTAAGTGGGTACTTGGTGTATTATGGGCCATTATCAGACTTCAGTGTGACTGTGGATCTGGCCTGGTACTCTGTGTTTTTGAGGCATGTCTAAGATATGCTTCTCTCTCAGACAAATTGTTCTCAGATTTCTGATAATATTTTCATATTTTAATGAATGAGGTTTCTAACTTTTATTATATAATGTCTTTATTTTGAAAGATCACATTCATTTACCATATTTCATTAATTTTAATATATACATTTTTTTCACATTTCAACATCTTTCAAATCAGATGTGTTTTACAATTAATGATATGTCATAGTTGAATTGGCAGCATTCTGCCTCACCCTTTAAAAAATTTCCTTCAGGCCAGCTGTGGTGGCTCATGCCTGTAATCCTAGCACTCCGAGAGGCTGAGGTGGAAGGATCACTTGAGCTCAGGAGTTCAAGACCAGTCTGAGCAGGAGTGAGACCCCATCTCTACTAAAAATAGAAAGAAATTAGCTGGGCATGGTGGTGCACACCTGTAGTCCCAGCTACTTGGGTGGCTGAGGCAGTAGAATTGCTTGAGCCCATGAGTTTGAGGTTGCTGTGAGCTAGGCTGACACCACGGCACTCTAGCCCGGGCAACAGAGTGAGACTCTGTCTCAAAAAAAAATTTTTTTTTTTTCTTAAAGCACATGTCTGTAGAGGGTGTTTGGATCTTTGCTGCTTCTGAGTTCTTCTTACCTGTGCTTAGGTACAGGTCTTGATAAAGAAGAGAGCTCCAGAGTAAGAGCAAAATTGATTTGGGGAACATTGGAGATCCCTTCACATTTCTAAAACCTGACACATTAAAGGAATTTGAGGATTCATGCCATTTGAGTCCTATAGTTGTGAGAAAACCAGGGCACTTTATCTTATATCTTGACATATTCTTTCTTTCTCTCCTAATAGCATAGATAGATATGGAATAAAATTGGTTCATGAATTTGGATTGTTCCATAATGAATTCCTCTAACATTCAGTGAATGCTACAAAGCACACGTTCTCCACTATGTACTACACATTGTAGCCACATTCGATGAATGTAACAGGTAAGAAAGACACTCCTGTATGAAGACTGAAAAGACTATGAGAGGTGTCATAATACAATGTATCAATAAGTACTCAATAAGAGGGTCAGACAATCTAAATCCTGAGTGGGGAGGTTACTTTGGGCTGGGAAAAGGTAATAGAAAATATAAGAGGTGAACTGGCCTTTGAAAGCTATAAAAAACATGTATGAGTAAAAATGGTGGAGGGAGAAAATATGTTTTTCTCCCTCAATTTTTTTTTAGCATCTATCTTCAGTCGACACAGCCATAGATGAATTCAAAGTGGATGAGTATTTTTAGACTCAGAACATGCATTTGAAAGTACAGCATACATTTATGAGATTGGCTTTATTACTAAGAACCAGTTAGAATGTCTGCTTTTCTGGGAATTCTGAACACTTCTCGCTAAATCGGGGTGGCAAAAGGAGACAGCAAAGCACTGACTCATGTTTGAGATGGCACAGGAAGGATCGGCAGGGCAGATTTAACTCCAGGGAGGTTTCGAGGGGACTTGCTATCTGAGACCTGAATGTGAATTGAGTATAAACCATGACTCGGAGAGCACTCTTGAACTGGGTAACGAGACTAAGCAGTTCTCACCTGAAACAAGCTAGAAATAGGCCACTCTTGGCTTATTTAGTAGATAATTTCGAGATCTTCTAAGTGAATAAGAACCAGTTTGGGAAGATAATCTTGAATCCCTTGTGGTCTTGCAATTAACACTTCAAATCCCAGTGAGCCCTGTTCTTCCTGAGCTTGGGCTATGTGGGATGCTGGGCTACCATGGACTTAGTTGAGGACAGATGTCTGTTCTTAACTGGGCCTGGCTTCCCTTCTCCCCCTCTTTCATTTCCTTCCTCACTTCTTCTAACACTCTGAAGTTCAGTCTGAGCATTCTATAATCGCTATCAATAAAGATTGATGTTATTTCTTTATATTAGTAGTGTAGTTCTAAACTTTTAAATTGAGTGACAAAGACCTACTCCACAGTCTTCAATACCAAATCACATTACTTTTAGAATGAGATATGTTTTTAAAGAACTCCACAGGTAAGTGGAGAGCCGGGCCTGAGAACCACTGCGTGTGGTGTGGGAACCCGGTCAGAACAGGTGAAAATCCCTAAATCCAGAGAGTAGATCTGGTCTAGCCTAGTGAATCATGAGGCAGAATTTCTCCAGCAGCTGTTGGAACAAAGACTGCTGTGGATATCCAGGACATTATAGGCCCCAATGCTGAATTTCCCCTAGATTAAGGATTTCAACATCTTTGTCTGTTTTCTGTCCTCTGGCTTCAGAGTAAGCTCCCTAGTCATTTCTGTAGCTGATGTACAAAGTACCTTTGTGGAACTTAGAAAATTCTACCCCTTTCCTAAGTCATTATTGCTATTTTCTGGGACATTGGCAGAATAAATATACAAATCTATGATGATAACATTGTAAATGGTACCTCATGGAGTTGTGCAGTGCACAGACTGTACAACCACACCCCGTGGCCTATCATGTTCTTGTTTTTCCTGCTTAAACAAGTCATGACCTGAACTAGTGACCTGGAGACTCTAGGCCTCAGATGACAATTGTTGGCAGGCTGGCCTAAGCATAGCAATTAAGATTAAAGGCAACTTCAAAGTCTGAGATGATGGGTTAGATGTTCTCAAAAGGCTCTCTGCCTCATGGCTCTGCCACATTGCTTAATTTAGCCCAGGTTGCTAGGGAAATGAATTCAAAGTTGACCAAGTTGGTGTCTAAAAGCTGTGAGTGGATAATAAATATAATTCATGGCAAATATGCCTTTGCTTGACAACCTTGGATGGCTTTATTTGCCTACACAGAGCTGAAGTCTAATGGAACTTGCCTAGCCTCAGCGAAATTGCTGAGTAAGCAGGGCTTATTTTGAGATTTTCAGCATCTTCTTTTTTTTTTTTTTTTTTTTTGCCCCTTTCTTCCTGGAAGTGGACAAGAAAAAGAAGCATATGTGTTACACCTGGGATATTCTGATCAGAGGACTCATCCTGCCCCTCATTGTCTGTCCATGTGCTCCATGGGTGGTTCCCATCTTCACTGGAGCTACACTTAAGCAGACTCTTGTTGTATAAGCAGTGCTATTCTCTAGAACTTTCTGTAATGATGGAAATTTTGTATTGTCTGTGCTGTCCAAACAAGGTAGGCATATGTGGATTTTTTTCTTTTTTTAATTTTGAGACAGAGTCTCACTCTGTTGCCCAGACTAAAGTGCCATGGCATCAGCCTAGCTCACAGCAACCTCAAACTCCTGGGCTCAAGCAATCCTCCTATCTCAGCCTCCCAAGTAGCTGGGACTACAGGTGTTTGCCACCATGCCCGGCTAATTTTTTCTGTATATTTTTAGTTATCCAGATAATTTCTTTCTATTTTTTTAGTAGAGATGGGGTCTCACTCTTGCTCAGGCTGATCTCAAACTTCTGAGCTCAAACGATCCACCTGCCTTGGCCTCCCAGAGTGCTAGGCATATGTAGCTTTTGAGTACTTGAAATATGGTTTATGAAACCAAAAAAGCTGAATTTTTAAATTTTAAATACTTTTTAATTAATTTCAATTTTAATAGCTACACCAAGGCTAGTACTATCTGAAAGATAGTTTTTAATCCAGAGTGGGAGAACACTAATATTTGTTGTGTGCCTTCCAACAGTCAGGAAAGTTCTTTTTATGATCTTATTTAATCTTCATAAAATTTTTCAAGGTAGACATTATTTCCATTTTATAGATCAGAAATGACTGAAGCTCAGAGAATCAGTTGCCTGAGGTTTTAAAACTCGTAAGTGAGCAAATCAGCATTCAAACTTAGGTGTCTTTGCTTCTAAAGCCTGCACTTGAAGGTTTTGGGGGAAAGTAGTCTTCAAAGTGAAGAGGCAGAAGCTAAATTTACAATAAAAACAATAATAGCCATTATCAGAATGCTCCCATCAAATGTCCCTGTATAAAGGTAGAATTCCAGCGAGGAAGTGAAAAGAGAAAGTGCGGTGGGCCAGGGCCAAAGCCACGCACTCAGCAGACAGGAGTGTGGTGCTGGAGGTGGCGGGGGCTGGGGACAAGGGCCTGAAGCTGCTGTGCTGGTGAGCAGCAGACCACCCTCACTGCGGCCTCCTCAACCTTTCATATGCCCAGTCCTCTTCTCTGTCCTTCCGCCATCAGATTAAAATCAAGCTTTCATACCCTGAGTAGCACCACCAGAAGCTCACTTATTAGTTGCTGCTTAGGACTGAGCAGAGGTTCGTCTGGGAGTTGTCAGCTTCTTTTCACTAGAGCCCAGGTCCTGACCAAGGACAGGTCCTCTTGCTCAGCTGGTTTTCTCCTTACCCCTCTCTTCCTCCTTTGTTCCCTTAAGATGCCCAGGGCCACGTCTATAGCTCTTTCTCCTTTCCCCTATGTCCTGCCTTTTCGTGCTTCTTCCCTACATGTAGCGAATATGCATTCATCCCCTAGGCAGTGGTTTTCAGTCCTGGCTGTGTTAGAATGAACCAGCACGCTTTTAAAAACACAGCTGACAGAGCTGCACCGCAGACAAACTGAGTCCAAATTTCTGAGATTGGAGTCTGGCCATCAGTGTGTTTTAAAACGTCCTCGAGTGGTCCTTAATGTGCAGGCAGGACCGAGAATCACTGCCTTTGTTGATTAGCCATCTGCATGTATCCCAGAGTCCTGCTGCTTCCAGACTTTTGGGACCCAGAGCGCTAGATGGGTGGATTTGGGGGTGGAGAAGGGTGGGTGTCATAGGTGCTAAGTGATAAGCAGTTGGACAATGGCTCAGGGCATCTGAAGGTGAGAAAGCGAAAGGGCCCCACAGACAGTGACAAACTATTATGGATGAGTAGAGCACAAGAAACCCTGATGAAAGAGAGATCTGTAGGGTGAATTATCAATATTGACATTTAACTCATTCAGTAATCATTTATTGAAAACATTTTGCACCAGCCCCTGCCATAGATATACGAAGATAGTCTAATGGCTATCTAATTAGCCAGTTGTCTAGTTAGCTAGACAACTAAAAATATACAGAAAAATTAGCCAGGCATGGTGGCACATACCTGTAGTCCCAGCTACTTGGGAGGCTGAGATAGGAGGATTGCTGAGGCAAGTTCCATTAGACTTTCCCCTGCCATGGAAAAAGTCGTAGGGTAGTGAATTAACGAGAGAGAGATAGAGAGAGAGAGAAACTTGGTTGACCAAGTAAGAATAGACCACATTGAACTACTTATCTGTACCATTTACTATTCATGACGCAGCACACTTAGCTCTCATACACATTATAAAATGTGTTGAATTATCTTTGTTGTAAGCTGTATTCAATTATAGCAATATCCTCTGCTGATATCTTCATCTTTATGTGGTTTGCTTTTGCACGTTGATACAAATTCCAGGAGTCTTAGTGCAATATCCACCTGCAACTTTTCTCATAAAGATTATGTGTGAAGTACATGTTTGTATAATGGTTTTTGGCAAATGCCTTGGTGTAAAATGCATTCAATAAGTCTACTCGTCTTCTTAAACACCCCCCTTGCCAACCCATTCCCTCCAACACATCACCCCTAAAAAGTTACCATGAGTAACCATAGCCTAAATCAAAGTCTTTTCTGTGCTTTGATGGGGATATAAATGGGAAATGAAAAACCCCTTCCTTGATAGGGTCTATGCTTGTGGGAACATCACAATGTCCCCCTCTCCCCTGGAAGCAGCATTAAGTACGTCTCCATGTCTTTGTGTCTACCTATTCTTAGCTTCAGCATCAGTATTCATTTAAAAAACTGACTTAGTTTTATCACATGTGTGGTAATTGAGGTGGAACCTCCCGTGGGAGAAGGGAAAAGCGTGGAGGATGAAAACTCCTATCATGTGGACACCTGACTTTCTCTTTGCACCTGTATAATATAAACAACATAAACATGGCATTAGTTTCATCTGTTTATGTACTTTGTATAAATAAAAATCATACATGGGTAGGATTTTGTTTCTGGTTTCTTTCATTTGACACTATGTTTGTGGGATTCATTCATATTGCTGTGTGTGGTTGTGGATGGTTTAGCTTCACAGCTATAAAGTAGCAGTCCCCAACATTTTTAGCACCAGGGACTGGTTTCATGGAAGACAATTTTTCCATGTACTGGTGGGAGGGGGAGCGGGAAGGGGAGGAGATGGTTTGAGGATGATTCAAGTGCATTACATTTATTGTGCACTTTATTTCTATTATTATTACATTGTAATACATGATGAAAGAATTATACAATTCATCATAATGCAGAATCAGTGGGAGCCCTGAGCTTGTTTTCCTGCAACTAGACAGTCCCATCTGGGGGTGATGGGAGACAGTCACACCCAAATTGTGTTGCTTATGTCCAGTCTACTCCGGAATCTCATTTTGGTTGCTGTCATTGCAGAAAACCCTACTTCACAAAGATAAGATGTTGGAAATGGCAGGAGGCTTTTCAGTGCTTTTGTGGCAATCTTGGGATATTCTGCCTTTGCTTTAATCCAGGATGTATGGAGAGCTGAAGTCGTCTCAGTCATACTTTTAAGGTCACCATCATTGCGATGTCAAGCAGTTGATCCTCTTCTGGCACAGACAAAGTCTATTTGCCTGGCTTATTCACAAATGGGGCACGGATCCATTCCTTCCCAGTTCAGGGGTCTTTTGTGGTTGGGAAGTAATGTTCAAACTCTTTTGAAAGCTGAGACAGGTGATAGTGCACCAGCTGGGAGAAAGAAGGCCCTGGCTCAGTCTCTTTAATAGGCTGAAATACAGTAACAGTAGAGGACTTCAACATCCCACTCTCAATAACGGACAAATCATCTAGACAGAAAATGAATAGAGAAACTTTGGAGTTAGACTGTATATGAGACCAAATGGGCCTAATCGACATGTACATAACATTTCACCTAAGCACTGCAAAATACACATTATTTTCATCAGCACATGGAACATGGAAGACCCAAGTAAATAAAATCACAAACGAAAATGCAGACAATAACCAAGACAACAGAAATGCAAACATTCATTAGAGGCTATTATGAACAACTATACAGCAACAAATTGAAAAGCCTAGAAGAAATGGAAAAATTCCTGGACATAACCTACCAAAACTGAACTATGATGAAATAGAAAACCTCAATTAACCAATAGTGTGTGTCAAAACTAAAGACATAATAAAATCTCCCATCAAAGAAAACCCTAGGATCTGATGCCTTAACCACTGAATTCTACCAAACATTGAAGGAAGAACTAATACCAATTCTACTCAAACTCTTTAAAAAAAAAAAAAAAAAAAAAAATCAGATTAAAAACCTCCGGTCTCCAGATTTCATTTGTTTCTCCAAATTCATGGCTAATTGTTTTAAAGAGTTTTGTCATACACTAATCCCTTTTATCTACTGTTTCACTTTTTGCAGTTTAAGCTACCAGATCCAAAAATATTAAATAGAAAATT